CCTTAAATGCCTTTAGCAAAGTGAAATGTAATCTTCTTTGATTAGTAAACCCAGGCAAAGATGTATGCTGATAATTCTGAAAACATTTTTTTATAGCAATATGATTTTAAACATTTTTCCTTTAGTAGTCTTCTGTTTTAACATTCGCAGAACTCTTTGTACAGGTACATTTTGTCCAGAGATGTAGCCAAGTGTAATTTTGTAGATACATTTTAGTTTCTCAAAGTCGTTTAGAGAAACTCAGTGAGAAAACTTTTTGGTCACCAGGTTTTAAATGACCAAAAGGTACAAACTTAGTTGTTCAAACCCAAGCATACAGATCTTTCCCAAACATACAAAATGTTGGCTTTTTATCATTGAGTCATTTTTCATATCCAAATGGTACTTTTTAAATCAACAAACAGTGTAAAAGAGTGTTACACAGAGAAAAGATGCTTGAAAAGGTATACAGCAGAAAAGCGAGGAGAACGCAAAGTACACAATGTTCAGCATAACTAGGGGGTGAAGCATGCCATGAAGGAACACAGAAAGGAGAGGGTCGCCTGTTATGTCTCCACTAGTTTGGTTGCTGTAGTTACTCCTTTGAAACCATTAGGCTATGTGTTAGCTACTGAATTCCATTGCAGGCTGTAAGTTGAAACTGTTCAGTCACTGCAGGAAATATTCCACATTCCTCCTTTAGCTCAGAATGTTACATATACAACGTTGCTAAATGAGCCCGGGGGCTTCTAAACAAACCCTGTTAGAGACTGGCTCCTTTTAACCTTTTTTTCCCCTTTGTCTGTAAGACTGTGTGATGGGAGTATGTAGCCTCATTTGCTATATATCCTTTGTCTATCCTAGTAGTCTGATGCAAAGTGGCATGGTTTGTGATCCAGTGACAAGAGTGATCAGTTCTGTCATGGACCACAGGGCGTTACTCCAAAACAAGGAGTGGTATTGCATGATTGGCAAAGGGAGGTTCTAGAATGGAGAGTAAAGGAAGCCTTGGACACAGGGAATCTCTGACCATTTTCCATTTCGATGATAAAAGTTGTTACGACCCTGGAAAGTATTAAAACTGGAAGTGCCATTCTCAGGCCATTGAGAGTCGTCGTATAACTTGTACTGTGGCCAAATGTAACTGCAGTAGAAGATAAGTGTTTCGGCTGTATGTCTGCAGTGAGACCCAAGGGGTCGAGATTTTTAAGAAGGCACCTCAAATGGATGGTCTTGGGGGGAGTCAACTGATTATCCCCCATTAAATGAGCTTTGAAAGGGTGTGGGCGAGAGAACCCCGGATAAAGGCAGAGAGTGAGTGTCCTCCGTCTCACTGCTGGTCTCCACTGAGAACTGTGGGACACTCACTTGAGAGGGCGTCCCCAATCGAGAAGGCCCAGGCTGTAGCCAAGGGGGATCTCTGACCTATTGCTAGAATTTTCAGAACCTGATAGAACTGAAGAGTGGCAGAGAGTCCCGGAAACGTGGGGCACTCTCAGCTTACTCACCCTTACGCAGCTTCTGTGAGAAACTTTTGCAGGATCGGTGCAGAAATGGCGGAGAAAGTCCCTGGGAGCGCCCTTCTCGGCAGGTTCAGGAGGAGGAGTCAGAGGGTGGATCAAAGTCCCAAGAAGGAATTGGCAAGGGAGTCCTGCCTGAGAGGTGCAGCCACGGTAATCTTGGCTGTCGTCTCCCGAGGGGGACGGGGAAGGGTGCCAGACAATCCACAGGATATAAATTTTGTCATATGCTTGTTAGATCCACTTTTTGACAATGTCAACACTTTGATGTTGTTGGGTGTCTGAGTCAACTACAATTCTCAAACAATGCTGGTGGGAGTTTGTAGTTTAACCACTTACAAAAAATTTGCTAATTTTTTACAAAGTTAAACACACATTTACTATATGATCCAGCAATTCCACTCTTGAGTTTTTGCACAAGATGAAAAAACATGTCTATATACAATATCAATTGTTTATAGCTGCTTTGTTCATAATACCAAGAAAGGGTGACGGGAGGGCCATCCAGCTACCTCTGAGAGCCTCCTCCCAGGTTTCAGCACCAAAATGTAAGGTCGCTGAGGAAAGGAACACTAGCCAGGTAAAGGAAGAAAATATTTTATTAGCAAGCGTCAAGCAGACCTGCCAGGCTGAGATGAAAAACGGTGTCAACCCTAAGAGGCAGTTGGGTGTCTTCTTTTATAGGGTTAAGATTGGCATCTGGCCTAATCTAAGAAGACAGTCACAGTGTTGCACTCCGGATACAGCCTGTTCATGGGAACAGAGACTCAGGGAGATAGAAACTTAAAGGAATGAAACGTAGAGAAAGGAAACTGAAGGGTGCAGGCTTTCTAAAAGTCAGGTTTTCAGTTCCAGGGGCCTAACAAATATAATTAAGGATTCCCTGAACAAGTCAGGAGCTAAGAATAAGGAATCAATTCTTACTACTCCATCTGCCAATGTTATAACAGTAGCATAATCATGAAGCTTGAAGAATACAGTGTTGATCACTTGGATTTAGAAAAGTGAACAACAGGGAAGATACTATTATTAAGAAAATATATTTTTATTTATTTATTAATCAAATGTAGGTTATTATTAACATGATCTGCATAAAGGAGAAATAAAACAATTGGAGATGCAGATTATGCAACGCACAAGTGAATTCTCAGAGAAGGAGCAGAAACTTTGGTGAGAATGATTGATAAACCTCAAACAAAGGTGGCCAACATCTGCTTTCAGATGTGTTTTGTTAGACAGCACTTAATCTCATTTCTTATATACTACCCCTGAGCTTTGAGCTCTCTCTCCCTCATACCTAGAGATGGGGAACAATGATGATTGAGACTCAGGGATTGGGTAAGGATGTCAATTTCGCACCTTGATGCAATTAATGTATGCAATTAATGTCTCCATATAGCCAAGAAATGTGGAGGGCAGGTATGGTCACTATTTTATGGATAAACGGATTTTTATTCTTTATCTCAGTCTCTTACTTTATTGAACAGGTCACCTCTTGGCTGGCAGCAGATAGTAACAGCATGCTGCGTGCCTGCCTGCATTTGTTTGTGTGTTTCAAATTCAGGTTTCATCTTCATTTGTATAGTGGTGAGGGAAAAAAATAGAATAAATTCAGGTTTCAGCAATCAGAGATGACTAGATGACCCCACTTAACACCCGTTCCCTGTTCACACATAAAGTTTATTCAGAATGATACTCTAATGATATTAGTGAGTTATTGATCTGATGTTTCACCAGGCTGTTTGGCAGGTCAAGTGTTTCTAATTAAATTTTCATTGATTCTTGAGAAACAGCACTAAAATGAACAAGGACTAGATTTGAAAGCTCCGCACACAGCACACAAATATAAATGTAAATACAAAATAAATTATTTGAAGAGTTTTTTTTTTTTTTTGTCTTTTTGTCTTTTTTCATGACCAGCAACGGATCGCAACCCTCAGTGTCACGCCCGTACCGGACCGGGACCGGCAACGGGATTGCAACCCTCGGTGTTGCCCCCGCTCCTCGCTCAGCCAGTGAGCCGCCGGTCTGCACGTGGGATCCGAACCCTCGGCGGGAGCGCCGCCGTGCTTCCCAAGCGGCGCACTGTAGCAGTGCGCCACCGGGCCGGCCCTGAAGAGTTTTTTAAGGTTGATTTTCAGCTTTTTGCACACCCGTCCCCAATTTTAAGAAATCCAAAGTTTCCTTATAAAGACTCTTAAAAGCTAAAATTTCTCAAGTGTTTTCTGATTTTTTTTTCACCTAAAAAATTTATTAGATGGCCAAATGCAAAACGATTAAAAAAATTTATCTAGCAGTATAATATTGTGGACAAGAGCTAAGACTCTAAAATGAATCTATCTCCCTATCATGAAATCCCAGACCCGTCATTTACTAGTTTTTTAACTTTGGGAAGTTTTTCAACCTCTCTATATCTGTGCCTCAGTTTATCACTTATAAACCCTCATAAGGTTGTTGTGAAGATGAGATAATCCATGTAACACTCCTCGAACACTACCTGGCGAATAGTAAGAGACCAGTAAATCATCATTTCCCTTTGTTCACTCAGCAGAAAAAAAGCTGGCTAGCCAGCCGGCTGACATTCTTTTCCTCTCCAGAATGGTGGTGGTATGGTGCATATACACACCAGGAAGATACCTCTTTTCTGAAGACACCTTCAAGTGAGTATTCTGGAATTCAGTGGTGCTAATGTATCTTGCAAGGCAAAATCTGGTGGGCAAGTAGACATTATGATTGGAATTTCAAGTAGTAGTATATGGAAGTGCTGAACCCATTTAAATCTCATTGTGTCAGGTAAGGATGTCTCAGGAATTGCAGTTTCCTTAACAACTGAAAGGCAATCAAATTCAGTGTTTCTGAGCGCACAAATAAAGTCAGGCTAAATCCCTTTGCAAAAAAATGCAAAACAATAAATATAAATGTTAAAATGCAAAGCATTTTATGGAGTGCTTAGGTTTTTGTTGGACATCCCCTCATTTCTAGACAACAATTCAATCATTTAGACCAATTTCCTTCAAAGTATGTTAGAAAAGCGTACTAGTCCTGGAGCAAGATAAACAGGTCCATAAATTAGAGAGAGTTGTTAGAAGAAGACCCCATAGCAATCTCCCTTAGCTGTAATTATCAGCTACATTTTGCAAAGAATGCTAATTTGTCCATGAAAATTAGTGTGCCCCTAGGCTAATAGCCCTTATTTTCTTCTGAGATTCTAGAATGATATTACTTATGCTTGTAACTACCTTTGCTAAGCTTAAGAACCATGGGAAAACCACTTTCATGTAATGTTTGCGACTTTTTTTCTCTAGCAAGTTTTGGCGTGGAATTTCCAAGCCCATGGGTTAGGAAGCTCTGGCTTCAGCCCTGAAATTCTGCATTTCTTCTCTTTCCAGAATCCTTTACCTACTGGGCAGCCTTTTAGCTATCTTCGTGGCAAGGCAGGGCCTCTCCTGGCATGGAAACCTGCCTGGTGAATCCGCCTCTCAAGGGCGTGTCAGTACCATTTCCTGGAGCAATCTCACAGGGTGGCTCCAATTTCCATTTCAGTTCAAATACTTTGCTCCCTCTTCTGAAGCTGCCAGACCTGCTCCTGCTGCTGCTCAGGTAACTCTCATCTCTCCCTGGCACAACTGTGGGTAGAGGTGGTTGATAAATGTCTCCTACACATGTGCCTGCCTGCCTGACCTTTCTTTCACTGTCTTTCTCTGTTTTTTCCTTAGGGAGAGCATCTGGGGAGTCACTTGTTGACCACGGAGAAGACGATGAGCTCAAGCTATTGGAGTGAGACCAGCAGCAGCAGCTGTGGGACCCAGCAACCCCTAGAGGTGCTGCAGTGCCAGCCCCAGCATCACCGCTGCTACCATCAGTCAAGCCAAGCCTGGCAGCCTCCAGAAAAAAATGTAGTTTATGAGCGAGTGAGAACCTACAGTGGGCCCATGAACAAAGTGGTGCAGGCCTTGGACCCCATCAGCTCCCAGGAAGTGCTCTCCCCTCTCAAAACCACCTCCTCCTGCCAAAATTTGGTTTGGAGTGACCACTCACAGGTATCGCAAAGACAGCTATGCTGGGCTAGCAGAAAGGGGAAATCTTGAACCTCATTTCTCTTCTTCCTTTCTGCTTCTTTGCCTCTATTCTACAGGTTATCTCTTGGTGGACTGCAGTTGAATTTGCATTGGACAGTCACCCAAATTTCATCTCTTCGCTGTTCTTTCATTTCCCAGTACCTGTGGTTGTTTGTTTGCCAGTACCAATGATTTTCATAATCTAACCAGAACATAGGAGGGCTCATTTTCTGTTGGATTTGTTTGGAAGATCTGGTCTGAGATATCCTTTTGCCCCTACAGTAAAGCAATCCTCAACTCAAATGCAGTAGTTTTTTAGAAGGTTCCCACTGATTGACTTTGTATCAGAAGCAAACAGGTTTTTTGTATCAAATATGGTGGTGCAGGGACAAAGGTATGTATGGAGTGACGAGCAATTCCTTGTGTTCAGCAAATAGTATGCTACTCCAGGATAAATGACAGGTGCAAATGTCTGTTTGAATTGTCATATGTGTTTCATCTTCTGAAAAGGACACATTGATCCTTGTACAACCTAGGTGAATAATTTATGGAATTTTAGTGGAAAGGGTACTCAAAGAATGGATATATGAGGAAGGCAAGATGTAAGCGCATGAAAGCTACAAAAGATGGAACTCTAAAATACCCTTTAAAATGAAATAAATTTGTTTTTAAGGGTTTTCTTTCTTTTTCTTTTTTTTTTGCAACAGTACCTGTGCTAATAATCTTGCCAATAAATGAGAAGTAACATTGCAAGACATAAAACGAACAGCTTTATGTCTATTTTCATTCTTTGACTCTCTTTACATTAAATGTGCCTGTCTTTTAGCTTTCTGGAAACTTTTCACCAACCTGAAATTAAGTTTTCAAATAATTTATACTGCGAAGGTCTCAAAAAGCAACCATTGGGATACTATCCTATGTTGCATTATTATACCAATTGGTAGCAATATGGATTATCTCTCCAAAAACTACAAATTTAAGTAAGACATGAAGTGACATTTCTAAAGTGCATAATAAAATTATTTTTAAAAAAATTTTTCAAAACTATAGATAACCCCAAAACTCCAAATGCCACAATTTTACTCTTATTTCACTCTTAGCTTAATTTTAGGGAAAAATGTGAAAAGAAATCTAGGATTTACTGTCAGTTATTCCTTGGTTGAGAAAAACTCTACCTGTATTGAGGTCAAAGGTAAGAAAATAAAAAAAGGTCAAAAATCCTAGTTTGTATAAGTGATAATAATAATGCAAGTGTACATGCTAATGTTCAATATTAGGACATGTTCAATATTAGCACAACAAAGTGAGTGTCACTTTTATTAGATAGGAGCCCAGAACAATAATGAGATGGTTGAAAACAACAATTACTATTATCATAGGAATACTAAAATCATCCTGTTTCTCATAGTTACTTAAATATATTTAGCCTCTTTTCTTGCCAACTCACTAGAAATAAAAAGGTAAGTAGATACACATTTAAAAGCTGAAATTTGGCAAATTATAAATATTGACTAGAGAACAGTTTTTAGGATCATGCTTTAATGTTTGCTCCTTGGTTCCACTTTCCCTTTTAATAATCCCAGAACCAAACTGCTTGAGCTTTTTAAAAAAAACTTTCCTTCTTCTATCTGATATTTGCCAAAGTGATCCTGAGGAGACTGTTTCCATTCTGAAACACAGATCCCCATAGAGGAGTTTATAATGAACCCTATGGACCGAAAGTGTGGCCACAGAAACTGGGATAAGAGATTGGAATTAGGAGCATTGTGAAGTGTGAAGTTATTTATGATTGAAAAGAAAGAAAAGTAAGGTCTGGGTGTGGGTGAGTGGGGTGAGATTCAAGCAATGTGGTAAAGAAAAAAAAAACAAAAACACCTTATTCTCTTAGTGAAACAATAAGAGAGAAAATTTGGCTATAAAATTTCAAACTTAGTTGGATATAAAAGAGCATTCACAAATCTACTAAAAGAGAATATGGCAAGATAGCTTTTAGAGAGCTGTCACAGAGAATAATGTAACTGGGAAACTTTTCTATTTTATTTCCTTTCTCCCCATTTATTGGTGGGATGGCATTGTGTAAAGTAGTAACTGGATTTGCTCTAAAATTGTCTTCATGCTGATGAAACGGGTAAATTGTGAGGGCAGCTTTATTATGTATCACGCCAAGCACAGGCAAACAGTATATATTACTCCAAACCTTTTATTCATTTTATGTTTTAATGAAGTCTGTCCTTAATATGCTATGTTTCAGATGAGTTGGTATGTAGCACTTATTCTGATGCCAGAGTTTGTGACTGTGGCAGCTATGAAAATGAGTATTACAATCGATTACTGGTCATCATGAATTAAACTTTTACCTCGTTTCTAGCATTTTAGTATTTGGATGACATTCAGAGAACTCATGAGATTTTAAAATAAATATTGCCAGTAGTTAAATATGCTCCTTTTGAGAAACCAAAATTGATGCCACCCTGGTTTTCTTCCTAAATTTTAATTTTAGCTCATATAGTAGACATTTTAGATTTAACCAAATGCTTTTTGCAGCACTTTAGTATTTTCTATTTCTGGCTTTTCATGTTTTTCCCCTATTGTCTTCTTGGGCATTAAAATTGTGTTTATAGGTATAAACATATTTTAAATTTCTCTGGATACATGATGTTTCTTTGTTTCTTGTCTATAATTGATCAGATATATTTTATGGTTTTCTCGGTTATTCTTTTGTCTGATTGATAGGGTGTTTCTCAGAGAAAATTAAATGTAGAAACCGGTTGCTGGTGAAATTGTCTAAATTAATGGTAGAATTTAAATTACTGGGTTTACCCATATGAACAGGTATAATCAGGCACAGGTGTAACCAAGGTTTCAGATGCATTTTAGAACTGAATGTGGTCTCGTAAATACAGTAAATGAATAGAGTTCTAGAAGCTACTTAAAACAAAAGAAAACAAAAACTCTTACAGTTCAACCTTTAAAAATCCTTAAATATTAACCTACCATAATTAACTCAAAATGAAATACAGCCTTTCATGAACAGCGTTGATTTGAATTACTCATTGGACTTATGTTTTTCCTTTCCGCTAATTTAGATTTTCATGAAGTTCAAGATATCTTCCATGTGTACAGAGGAGCTCTGTTGTGTGACAGAGAAATGGATCAAAATAAAATATTTTTTAATGCCAGTAATTAATTGAATACATGTTCATTAAGTGTCTGTTTTGTAGGAAGCACTGTGATTTTCTCGATAAATACCATTCACTTATACAGGGAGAGTCCACTTTGAGGACAGACATACAAGGATTAGTCTGTAGGTGTCCCATATGTCTATCTATATTTCTTTTTAAAAGATTATTTTGTGTTGTGGCCATCAATATTTAGCTGAATAAAACTTGTTTTGGTGCAAGAAGGGATTTTTTAATGTATAGATTATCAATGTATGTATTCTTTAGAATTTGAAACTTGAAACCAAATCTAACTCTAGAGAGCAGCCTAGGGGAAAATATAGATTAATTAATTGCCTCTGTTCTCAATAATTATTCAGCTGGGGTTTACCTTTGTTTATATATATTTTTTCTTTTTTATTCAGTTGCAAAGATGGTGGATGGCTCCCCTACTGTGCCAGGATTTCTATACACTATCAGAAAATTTTCCTGTTCTGTGGGGAGGGGTGTGTTGCTTTGATAAATTGTTGTTCAAGGGCGTGGCTACTAAAGTGAATGATTGTTCAGGGAAGTAGGTTGCCTAAAAAAAGAATGAGGTCATAAAATAAAGGGAAGGAGTTTTCAGCTTTGGTCATCCCTTTCGTGCTTACAGTTAAATGAGGCCAAAGAGATTGCAGGTGCAACTAATTGGTGGGTGAAAGTGCCCATGGCAATTGTCTCTTGTTTAAGGGAGGTCTGATAAATTGCCGTTTTCAGTCAGTGGCACTCACAAACTGTCACTGTGTGTGTGTGTGTGTGTGTGTGTGTGTGTGTGTGTGTGTGTGGCAAGGTTGGGGGGGAGAGGGAGCAGCAAGGGAAAGGGAGGGGAACTTTTCCTTCAATTATCTTGGTTCAAATTTCTTTTCTTGACAATTCATGGTAACAACTGGTAGATGTGCCATGCTCTTAAACCCTATTTAAAAGTTAAAACTTTTATAAACAAATATATTTGAGCCAACTTTTTCTTCACACCAGGAGCTATCCCAATAGAGGTCCTTTTTTGACTTCCAATGGAGCATACTCATATATACTTATAGTTTTTAAAGACAAAAAGCATGCACTCCAAAGGGACTAAATATTTTCTCTCAGTCTCCTAGTTTCCTTCAGTAAAAGAAGAGAAAGAACCCAGGAATGAGACTCTTAAATGAGGGATCTGGCTTGGGGAGAAGGAAGGAGGGGAAGTAGTTAGTTCTATTGTTAGTACATTCTATTGCTTTCTATACATGAAAACGGAATCACATATTTTATCCTAAATGAAGGAAGCATTTGTTTAATCTAAAGAGAGATAATTATAATTTACACGTAACATGTTTCTTATATAAAGTTCAGAATAACATCTTAACAATAACCTAAGGCAAGTGTTTAACCATGTTACTGGCTTTGTAAGATTATAACAAAAGCATCTCTCATACTATTCAGGGAATTTATGGCAGTTTGCCTCTGCAAATTCTGTCAGCGTAAATGTCAGGTGGATTTTAAAGATATTGCCTCTTTGGAAACTGTTCAGCATATACTGCTCCTAATTCGCTATTACTACTATCAGTGATTCTTATAGTCATTGGAACTGATGGAGCATTCACAAAGCTCTCACGATTTACCTTCCTGGAACATATTATATAGTCTGTAAGTAAAGTTTTAAAATCCAAATTAGACAACGTGAAAGAGTTCCATGTTCATTTCAACAAGCTTACAAATATTTAGAAAACAAAGTCCTGCACCATGTATGTAATGTTCTCTGTTACCTAGTTCTCATTCCCATCAGTCTCTCCTTTATTTATACACTAA